TGCAATTGGCCCAGGACAGAGCAGAGTTTAGGGCTGTTGTACATAGGGTCGCTATGAGTCGCAAGCGACTCGACGGCACATAACAACAACCAACTATAATCCATCAATTGAACTTTAATCACAAATTGTAAATTTATTAAGACTGCAAAATTGATACAAGTTCTCAATTTCTTCATCTTTGGCTTTAATGGTTGGTGAGTATATGTGAAAGATAGTAGTATTAACAGATCTTCCTTATATGCAGGTCGATAGTACACCTTCACTCACAGCATTGCACTGCAGAATAGACCTTACAATATTCTGATGAAGACTCTGACACCATTCATCTCCAGTTTTATAAAAGAAGGAAGATATTGAATATAAAACAAGAGTAATTGTGATGCATCCTTGTAACATGTGAACTAAAAGACAGGTATTTGATTAATCATTGAACATTGTTGTTCTTATGTGCCATCGAGTTGCCAGTGACTCAAAATGACCTTATGTTCAATAGCTCTGAATCCTGCCCTATGCTGAGCCAGTCTCACTCTCTCTGACACAGCTGCCTTATTACCTCAGTTATTGTATCAATCCATCTCATCCAGGATCTTCCTCTCCTATGCTGTCCCTCCACCATTACAAGCATGATGTCCTTCTCCAAGGACTGGTCCCTCCTGGAAACAAACCCGAAATATGTGAGACAGAGCATCAAAATCCTTGCCTTCAAAGAGCAGCTTGGTTTCACCATCTCCAAGACAGACCTCTTTGCTCTCTTAGTGGTCCATGGTATAGTCAAGACTCTTCTCCAACACCACAATTCAATAGCATTCTCTTCTGTCATCCTTAGTCATTGTCTTTGTTAATCAGCTAACTAACATTCTTAGTCACCTCTCTAATGCATAGCAAGTAATTGCAAGGACAATGGCCTGAATCAGGTGCACCTTAGTCTCTAGAGAGAGATATTGCTCGTTAGCACTTTGGAGAGGTCCCTGACAGCTGACTTCTTCAGTACAATTTATCTTTTGATTTCCTGACTACTGGTGTCAGGAGTGTAGATTGTGGAGCCAAGCAAGCTGAAATTGTTAACAACCTCAATGTCTTCTCCATCTATCATGATGCTGACAATTGGCCCAGTGGTGAGTATCTTTGTCTTCTTGATCTTGAATTTCACAGTCCTTGACCTTTTGAAGAAAACATTTCAGGTCCTCCCCATTTTTTGCAACCAAGGTTGTGTCATCTGCATAATGCATGTTGTTGATGAGTCTTCCTCCAATCCTAATGCCACATTCGTCCTCATAGAGTCCAGCCTCCCAAATGATCTGTTCCACATACAGAGTGAAAATATATGGAGATAGGATACATCTCTGAAATACTTCTTTCCTGATTTTGAACCATGCAGTGTTTCCTTGCTCTATTCAGATGACTGCTTCCAATCTGGCCTCCTTAAATGAGCTAATTAATTAATAAATAAATCTGATGAGAATGAAGAATTCTCACACTGAGAGACATTTCTACTGTTTTAGGTCTAGGTAGTCTCTTTCAATTTGTACTTAAATTAGAAGCCAGAGAACTTTTTTTCATGGAAATCCATATTACATAACCAACTGAACTGCCTTTCCTCTAGCTTTGAGTTGATATCACTTATATTATCTATGACTCTTTGAATACTTATGTCAAACTTAAGAAAACTACTAATTATTTCCACTGGAATCTGCTCATTCTCTTTTCTCTTCCCTCCCTCCCTCCCTTCTTTTCTTCCTTCTCCCTTTCCTTTAGTTATTCAATTTGCCACCTGTGAACCAAGCATTCAGGCTTCATTATGTTACTTTCTTGTTGCAAAGTTTTAGCTTTGTGCCTTTATAGATATCCTTTTATCTCTGTGTTGTAATTTCTCAATTAAATTGTTCAAAATAAGCATTCATAGTTTTCATTTTCATGGATTTAAATTCTGAAAGCCTTTGGTGGGACAGAGAAATTGTTATTTTCAGTTAATACTTCATGAAAATGGATCATGCTTTAACAATTTTTCTTACATAGAAATTGTTTATTCACCACAACAATATAAAGTTAAATAATCCAATAGAAAAATGGGCACAGGATATGAACAGACACTTCACCAAATAAGACATTTAGATAGCTAACAAGCACATGAAGAAATGTTCAAAATCCCTAGCTCTTAGAGAGATGCAAATCAGAACAACTCTGAGATATCATCTCACCCCAGTCAGAATAGCAAAATTTAACAGAACAGCAAGCAACAAATGCTGGTGAGGTTGTGGAGAAACTGGAACCCTTATTCACTGTTGGTGGGAGTGTAAAATGGTGCAACCACTGTGGAAGGTGGTATGGCACTTTCTCAAAAAATTGCAAATAGAGATACCATTTGACCCAGCAATTCCACTGCTGGGAATATACCCCATAGAGATAATAAC